AGCGGGGAGAGCCGCTGGGACCCTCCACACCCCATCCCGAGCAGCGGGAACAGCAGGAGGAGCTGCGGCGATGGAGGCGGAGCGGGGCGCCGTCGGGGCGCTTTGCCCCCCTTGCTCTCCCTTTCCTACCCTACCGCTCCCTTGCATTACCTTGCCTTCCCCACCCCTCCCATGCCTTGCCTCGCCTCACCTTTCCCATCCCTCCCTTGCCTACCCCTCCCTTGCCCCTTGTGCCGGTGGGAGTTCCCCGAGGGGTTGTGCGGGGCCCTTGGGGCCGGGACCCCTGGATCGTGGTTTTATTTTATTCTATTTTTTTTTCATTCTATTACTAGATACGAAAATAAAGGTTGTAGGGCTGGGGTTGAAATGCCATCTGTTGGGGCCGGGGGGGACATAAAGGCTGGAATGGGCACCCTGGGACTGGAGCCAGACCCAAACCCACGTGGAGCTGAAATGGAAATGCTGGGGCTGGAGCTGAAATAAATCCCGTGAGGAAGGGGATGGAGCTTTAGCTCGGGGGCTGCAGGAGCTGCCTGGGGGGTTCCAGCCCCCGCAGTGGTACCAGGGGGCTCAGGGCTGACCCTGGGGCTCTGAACCAGCACTAGGGCACCTTTGGGGTGGGGGCCCGGGGGCCCAGTGGCTGTTCCCAGCCCCTGGTGCCGGCTGGGGGGGCTGTGGGCAGGTGGGGTGTGAGACCTGGAGTGGGGGGAAGGTGTGTGTTGCAGGTCAGGTCTCATTTCCCCCAAAGCTGGGGCCCCCTTGGGACAGAGTGGCTGGAAAGCTGCCCTGTTGGAAAAAGCCCTGGAGGTGCTGGTTGGCAGTGGCTGAACATGAGCCCGGGTGGGCCAGAAGGCCAAGGGCACCCGGCTTGTGGCAACAGGACCAGGGCAGTGACCATCCCCCTGTGCTCAGCAACACAAAATATGAGGCCATACAGTGACTTGAGACACTGCCCAGTGGGCTGATTAACTGTCTGCAAACAAACATGAGGAAGTGTGGGTGATAATCTGTGTTTTAACATCATAATACGGCAAATGGAGTTTCCTCTTCATAAACTGCCAAATATAAGCATATTGTGCAGTCATCAACATGGAAAATTACCAAAATTAAAATTAAATAATGTCCTTATTAAAATACTGATAACACCAGGCACTAATTCTTACCTGGTTTAAATGAAGACAGACGATATCTCTGTAGTTGAATTTTGATGTTGATTCAATATTTCCCCCCAAAATAATTTATATTGGGTACTTAAGGCTTAAATGTCTCCTTATGATCCTTTTTAGTACATACCTTAAGTCTTTACTCATCATAATTATGAGGCGGTGGAACTAATTAAAAAGAGAGCAGTACTGCCACAATGGAGGTAATTTAGACTTTAGTTTAAAGCAGTAAAAATATACTTAGAACTCCTTGATGTAATCTTGCATCACTAGCAGGAATCCTGTAAATTACCAAAGGAAAACAGCCCATTTGTGCCGGTGATTCAGTGGTTGAAGAGTTGCAAAGTTCTAATTCCTGCACTAATGATGCAGCTGAAGCTCTTTGGTGACCTGAGGGTGCTGGTTCTGGGAAACTTCAGAACTATCTCCAAGAAATTAGATGAAGACAAGAGCAGCATGTACTATTACTGATACTCAGAATTTTAGCTGTTCATTCAAAAATCATATCAATTATCCGTGCTCCAGAGTGTGTGTGCTCCAAATTGTCAGGGAATTGATTTCCTCCACCCCCAGGCTTTCTGAGATGAGTTAGTAGTGGGTGACAGGAAAATTTAGATGTATTATCCGAGTGTGTGTGAAGAAACTGAAACTATGGACGCTTCTGCACCCAGTGTTATGAGAGAGGTGTGAAATTATTGGAGGATATTTGATAATTACTGATAACTGAATCTGGGCTGCACAGTGTGCTCTTGTTTTTTCGATAGCTGGGAGGAAATCGAGGGGAAAGTGGAATCATCACGTAATAATTCACTTGATTTTTTTTAATGAAGGGTTTTCATAAGCTGAAAATTATTGATCCGTCACAACAGAAACCTCCTTCTCTGGTGTGAATGAAGACCTACATCAGACAAATTACATGAAATTTTTTTTGAAGGAGATTCTGTCCTTTGCTTCAGGAGCAGCACAGAGAGAAACCTTGTGGGTTTATCCCCTGAAAGTCTTTCACATACAAAAAAATCTGGATAGGAGTCAAGTTATCTGCTTTGTTATCTTAGGTAAAACTGAGCTGGACCTGCTGAGATCTGCATCTAATTCCAGCTATGGAGTGTTTTCATGAGGTGTGATGAGCCTGTTTAGTAGTCTTTTGATCTGCATTTTACAGATCTGAGAACCCAGGTAGCAGCCCCAGACTGCTCTGAGGAAGCCATCTGAGTTGTTTTTTCTCTCTTTTTTGAGGAAAGTATCAGAAGGTCTGAAAGATCCCCCTTATATTGTGAAGAGATTTAGCTAATTATTGCCCTAGGAAGGTAAAATTCAAGCCAAGGAGAAATATTATGCCCCTTCTCCAGGATTTCATTATTCAGGCCAGAAGAGAGTCCTGGTCATCAGCCCAGCACGAAAAATTACACCTGCCACTGTATTTCTCCTTCAAGCACAAAGCAAGCAAAACCAAATCCAGATCTCTCACTCTTCAGGGCCAACACCAGACAATTATGAGAGCTGTAGAATTACAAGATGCCTCATGCCTTTCTATGTGGAGTATAAGGAGTATAAGCTTGCTTTATCCTTATCCTTACACTTTTCTTATCCTTATCCTCTTGTGAACCGGTAAAAAGCTGCCCCACTCTCTCCCAGGCAGCTCTGAACAGGGAGTGGAGCTGCACAGAAGAAATATGATTTAATGAGGGTCTAGGAACAGACTGCAGTGCTGAAACAAGCTGCCAAGGCAGGCAAGAATATCTATCACTGCCTACACACCACCAAAACATTTTCTCTCCTCTCTGTTTTCCCATGCTTGTCCCTCCTCTGGTTCCTCCCTTTCCCTTTCCTACGTCTCTTCCCCTAAACACCCCATATGACGTTTCATACAGTCCCTGGGTTCTGCTCTGCACCATCCCCACATTCTCCTCCCTTGCTGTAAGTCTCATATCTCAATGGGCCATCATTGCCCTAAAGCTTTATGACATTTCCAGGAGAAAGTTGCCTTCAGTACATCACCTTGGTGGGCTTGGATGAGCAGGAAGAGGAGTGGGAAGAGTTTGTGTTGGAGTTGCTGCCTCTTGTCTGATCAGTTTTTGGAAGTGAAATGTGTGTTGAACTAAGGACAAGGAGACATGTTCAGCACAGTGTTACGAGTCACTACAAGCTTGTTCCTGGTAGGGGAGAGATTGCTCCTGGGAAATAGAAAAAACAAGGAGCATCACCTGGTCTGGGCAAAGCAGGGGTCAAGGTGTGTGACCCCTCAGACACGTCTGAATGCAGGGATCCGTGAGCCTCCCTCGCTCCTGCCATGTTGGGATGGGTTGGGTTGGGCAAATAATGTCCCAAGGACACAGTGCTAAAATGGGGTCTTAGAAATCCGACTAACTCTGGACAGATGCAGAAGGAAAATCCTGTATCCAAAAAAAACAGCTGCCAACAGAAGAGACAGATGTTATTCTGGACAGCTACAAAGCTGGATTATGGAGCTGGTGCCAGTGGATGTGAGCAAGGTTAAAATGCCTGTAGGAGAGGAGGGTGTCTCACAAAATCAGGGATGGGGTAGCCCCTGGAGTGCATGAATGAGGCCAAGCAAAGAGGCAATTCCTCACTGGAAGAGAGGGAATAAGCATGGAAAACTCATTTTACACTTCCAAAAACTGCAAACTCTGTGGATGAATGTGTGTGGAAAGGATCAGGGCAGCTGAGGTGGCCTGGGAGGCTCAAGGACATGGGATGTATGCAGGACTACAAACCTGGCTCTGAAGAAGGAAAGATTAAGAGGCCACGACTGGACAAGCCACATAGAGCAATCCATCTTGGAATATTTCATCAGGCACCTGTAACTTGGAAGGACTTTGTCCCTAGCAGCCCATGAGGGGCTCTGTGGGGGAATTGAGGTGTACAACGAATGTCTCCAGAGCTTCTGCCCCGTGGGTACTGAATATTATCCAGGATTGTCTGCTCGGGGTAGCTTGGAAAAAAGTCTCAAACTGCAGATGCAAAGCTCTTGGCCTCTGGTGAGAAGGGGAAGGTGACCAGCATGGACATTTGGGTGCCTTCAGCGCTGAGTGATGGAGGCTGGGCACAGGTGGAGGGGAACGAGCAGACCTGGGCTTGCAAGGAGGGCAAAAAACGTGGGATAGGCGTGGGTGGAATGAGGGTGATCTGTGGGGTCAGGGAGAGGAATGGAAGAACCCTAAGAGCGGGTGGAGGGGAATGGGATGAACCCGAGGGCACAAGGGGTTGACCCGGCCCCTCTGCCGCACTCAGGAACCTCCTTTCCAGATCCAAAAGCCCCTTCTCTCCCCAGCGTCTCATTTTCTGCCCCACCACATCCGAAGGGCCCCGGCAACCCCCGAGCCTTCCCCAGCTCGCCCGGGCGAACCCCCCGCGCCCCCCCGTCTCTCTCCAGCCCCCGCCCCGGTCCCGCCCCGGTCCCGCCTCTGCCGCCGCAGCCGCCGCGGGTCCGGGCCTGGGCAGGCGGCGGCGGGGCCATGCTGGGCAAGGATTACATGCTGGCCATCGTCCTGGTCAACTGCGACGGTCAGCGCGGGGGCAGGGCGGGCACGGGCAGGGGCACAGCCCGCGGGGCCGCGGCCGCGCTGTGGGACCGCGTTGCGGGATCGATGCCGGGTTGCGGGGCCGGCTCTGAGCGGCGGGGCCGGGTTGCGGGTTTCGGGGCCGGGGCCGGGCGGGCCCCGCGGGTCGGAGCGGCGGCCGCGCCCGGCGCTGTCCGCGGTGCTGATCGGGGCCCGCCCGGCCCCGCCAAGGTCGCGGGAACCCCCCCACCCATCCCCAGGGCACCTCCGCTCCCGTGCCCCTCCATCGCACCCCGTCCTCCTGTCCCCGGGACCTCTCATCCTCCGGGACACCTCCTCCCCCGGGACCCCCCGGCCGCTGCGGGCCCGGGCTCGCTCCGGCCGTGCTGCGCCACGGGATCGTGTCCGTGCCCGCGCGGGGCCGGGGGAGCGGTGGGAGGCGGCTGCAGCCCCCTGGGGCACCACCCTCGGCCCGCACCCCGGGGTCTGTGCCGGCCCTTTCCCGGGCTGGGCCGGCGGCCGCCGGCCCTGCCCGGACGCCCCGCAGGATGCCCGGCCCGGCAGGCCCGGGATGCCCCTGCCCTCTGTGCCCCGCCGGGGTCCCGCTGTTCCCCGTGCACCAGCCAGGCAGGTTCCCGCAGCGGGGTCCGCCACCGCCGCAGCCTGGCTGGCGCCGTGCCATGCTCCCTCGCCACGCTCCTCTCCCGGGCCGTGGGCCCAGCTACGCACCCAGAGGCCACCACAGGACCCTTTTGCTGCTGGGCAAAGCATCCCGCAGCTGGGGTGCCTTCCCTCCACACTCTCTGCCTCTCACACTCTGTCTGTCTCTGCACAGACAATCTCTGGAGCGACCAGAGCCTGGAGACAGACCCCGACCTCCCCCCAGGCTGGAGGAAAATCTGTGACTCTCTGGGCACCTACTACTGGCATGTGCCGACGGGCACGACCCAATGGCAGCACCCTGCACGCACCACCAGCCCAGGAGGGCACCCGGAGGCTGATGGAGAGGAGACACTACAGGGAAGGGTAGGGGGTGTGGGTACAGGGGGTGGTGGTTGGTGTTGGATCCCACCCCTGGCAGAAGCCTGCTGAAGGACCCTCTGGGCCAGCCTCCCCTTGGAGCAGGCCTGTCACTGTCATCCCAAAGTCCTGCTCAGCCCATTTCTGGCCAGGGCTAAGCCCTTTGAAAGGCTCCTGCAGGCTCTGTGTTGATTTTGGCCTCATCCTGGCCACACGGGATGCCCACAGGCCCGTTGCTGTCCTGGGAGGGAGGGCTCTTACCTGGTGCCTCCTGACAGCCTGTCTTGTTGCCCTCCCTTTCCTCTTGTCTCCCAGGAATGCCAGGCCCCCGGAGCGAAGCACTCGGCAAAGGACAGGCCCATTCCCAGCCCCATGGCTTCGCTGACCAGGAGGTAGGGCTGCCCTGGTGCTCTGCTGGCTTGTTTATGGGGCACTACTGATCCTTCGCCACCACTGGGTGCTTGGCCCCAGCGCCCTCCCAGAGCAGCCCCCCGTGCTGGAACCAGCAGGATCACTCCTATGGGATGCTTCCCAGCTGGTGGCATGGGGGTATGGTGGTGCCAGGGCATTCCTGGCGCTTCCATGGGTGCCCCAGGGATCACGCAGAGGGAGCTGCCCCTCACTGCCCCGTCCCTCTGCAGGCCCTCGCTGTCCTGGCATGGAGAGGACATCCAGCACAGCGCAGAGCCCGGCTCCAAGGTACCGCATCCCGCCGGCTCCGCTGCCGCATCGTGGGCTGGGGCTGGCAGGAGAGGAGGCGAGTGGCAGCTGGCAGGGATGTGGATGGGTGGGAGCCAGAGCAGGGGTGACCCTGCTGGCACGGCGAGGGGCGTGGGGCGGAGGTGGCTGTGCCAGCGGGCACTGGAGCCCCAACGTGTCTCTGCTCAGTGCTTTGCCGTGCGCTCGCTGGGCTGGGTGGAGATCCCCGAGGAGGACCTGGCACCGGGCAAGAGCAGCATTGCCGTCAACAACTGCATCCAGCAGCTCTCCAACAGCAAGGGCCAGGGCTCTGCAGAGAACCGGGGTGAGGTGAGAGCCTGGGACGGGGCTGCCAGGCAGGGTCCCACTCCAGGGCTACTGCTGCTGAGGCTGGATTGTGCTGGGAGGGAGCAGGGACAAGTTCCAGGGCAGAGTCTACTCTCCACACAGGGTATCCATGTGATGGTTCCAGGTGTGGGGCAGGTAGGTCTCATGGGGCTGTTCCTTGGGGACAGTGCCAGGAGTGCCTGGTGGGTCCCCACACATGGGAATGGTACCTGGGAAGGGCAGAGGTGGGAATCAGGGCTGTTCCCATGCTTGGAGCTGAGTAGGCTGGGGGGACAGGGGTGTCCCTACAGTGAGCTGGGTTCTGGGGAAGCCCAGGCTGTCTGCCAGGCTGAGGGAGCCGCTGCCCCTCCACAGGGCCAAGACCTGGTGATGATTCTGAAGAAGGACACCATGAGCCTGGTGGACCCCCTTGACCGCAGCCTCATCCACCGCCAGCCCATCCTCAACATCCGTGTCTGGGGCGTTGGCTGCAACAACGGCAGGTGCTGGGGCCAGGGCAGAGCTGGGGGCTGAGGGGTGGCTCTGCCTGCTTGGGGGGAAGGCACCCCAGCAGTGACCTGTCCCCTCTCCTCCCTCCCCGACTGCCACCGTGGCTGCAGGGACAGGTAAGGGGGCACAGGGCTGGGGGGCAGTGCAGGGAAGGGCCTCTGTCAGGGTCTCACTGGTTTGCTTATGGCCGTGCAGAGACTTTGCCTTCGTGGCCAGTGACAAGGACACCTGCGTCCTCAAGTGTCACGTCTTCCACTGCAATGTGCCCGCCAAGGGCATCGCCAAGGCCCTGCACGAGATGTGCTCCAAGGTGGGATTTACAGGGGCCCTGCTGGGTGTGAGCACAGCCCGGGGGTCTCGGGGGTGAGGGGAGGCACCAGGACCCCTGTCTGTTGCAGATCGTGGCCGAGCGAGCCGTGGCCAGCAGCCGCCTGCCCCGTGCTGCCACGCTGGAGCCCATCTCCACCGAGGACCTGCCGCTGCAAGGTACCGTCCCCCGGTGCTCCCCCTGCCCACAGCCCACCCTCGGGCAGCGGGGGTGTCCAGCAGCCAGATCTCGGGGTCCTTGAGGATGGGGGGACACAGCGGGGGACACAGAGGTACCCCCACCTCTTCCGTACTGGCAGTGGATATCCTGGAGGCGGTGAGGCAGTCGATGCAGACCTACGAGGCGCTGTACATCGGCAGCCTGCCCGTGCCCAGGGCCATGGGTAAGCGCCGCTGCCCCCACCCCCGCAGCTGGGGGACGCCCAGCAAGCCCCTCCTTGCTCCGTGGGGCGGCCGAGCAGCCGCGTCCCGGGGCCGGTGGGATGGGGTGGGATGGGGTGTCCCGCTCCGCAGGGATGGACGTGTTGAACGAGGCCATCGAGAAGCTGACGAGGCGCCCCGGGCGGGAGAGCTGGACGCCCTCCCTCATCTACGTGTCGGACACGGCCATGAGGGTTCAGCCGGCGCAGGTTGGGGGGCACGGGGGGCTCCGGCCGGGGTGCCCCCGGCGGGGCGGGCCCGGGGGGCGGCCAGGGCTGGACGGGCCCGCGGGGTGCCCGCAGGAGCCCGAGGAGGCGGCGAACATCTGGGAGTGCCAGGTGCGGTACGTGACCTTCCTGGGGGTGGGCCGGGACGCGCACACCTTCGCGCTCATCGTGGACACGGGGCGACGCTTCCAGTGCGCGGCCTTCTGGTGCGAGCCCGACGCCGGCACCATCTCGGAGGCGGTGCAGGCCGCCTGCATGGTGAGCCCCGGGCGGCGGGCGGGGGTGGCCCCGGCGCCGCGCCCCCCGCGCTGCCCGCCGTGTCCCTCCGCAGGTGCAGTACCAGAAGTGCCTCGTGGCCGCCGCGCCGGGGGCGAAGGCGAAGAGCACGGCAGGCCGGGGCCGGGCCGGGCCGGCGGCCGCGGGGGACGGAGCCCGCGGAGCGGCCAAGGCGGGGGGGGGGGCGGCGGTGGGGCGGGCGCCGGGGCCCGCAAGAGGGGCCTCTTCTCCTTCCTGGAGGTTTTCCGCCTCCGGCGGGCCCTCCTACACAGCCCGTAGCGGGCCGGGCCGGGGCCGGGGCTGGAGCCGCCGGGGGGGAGCCCCGACCCCGGCACCGACCCCGGTCCCGGCCCGGCGGGGCGGGGACTCGCCCGGCCCTTCCCGCCCCGCCCGGCCCGCCCACCCCCGGCGGGCGGAAGGGGCCGGTCCGGCCGTGACGTGGCGGGATGGCGGAGCCCTACGTGAGACCGGGTGAGGGGGCGCGGGGAGCTTCCGGCACGGGGGCACCGGCGGGGCCGTGCGGGGACCGGGAGGGCACCGGGACACTGCGGGTCTGCCCGGGGCGGGGACCGGACCGGCGGGACTGGCTCCTTGGGAAGGGTGTGCGTGTGTGGGGAGGTGCCGGGGCCGTGCCGGGGCATGGGGTCCCCGTCGGTGTCTCCCACCCCCCGATCTCACGGCGCTGCTTCGCCGCCGCAGGGAACCAGGAGCGCGGCTGGAACGACCCCCCTCAGTTCTCGTACGGGCTGCAGGCGCAGGCCGGGGGCTCCCGCCGGACGCCGCTCACCCGCCGGGCCCCCCCCCGCCCGAGGGCGCATCCCCAGGTCAGCACCGCCCGAGCCCCCGCCCGCCCCTCGGCCCCGCCCGGAGCTCCGGGGGCCGCTCCCCGCTTGGACCCGGTGTGCGGGGCCCTGGGCCGGGCTGACGGGCCCCGCGCCGCCGCCTCTGCCCCGCAGGTGCCCCCCCGGCCCCGGGCAGTGCCCCCGCAGACCCCTCCGCGCCTCCCCCCCGGGCGCTGGGGCCGCCCCCGCTGGGGCCCGTGGGCGCTGCCCCGCGGGCCGAGGCGCGGCCGTGCCCGGAGGAGCGGGAGTGCAGCGTGTCCGCCGATACCGTTCTCGCCCCGCTGCGGGCGGCCCTGGACTCCTGCCGGCCCTCGGTGCAGGTGAGCCCGGGCCCCTCCCGCCGCCTCGGACCCCGCGGGGCAGGAGCTGCCTATCCCCAGGACACCTGAGAGAGAGGGGGGGGAGAGCCGCCCCTGCCCTGGGCGCTGCCCAGAGCTGGTGGGGGCGGTTTCCCCCGCTCCCAGCTCACCTCTGCTTCCAGAAACAAGTGTGCAATGACATCGGGCGGCGGCTGACAATGCTGGAGGACGCGTGGGCTCAGGGGAAGCTGTCGGCACCGGTGAGGAAGAGGATGAGCCTCCTGGTACAAGGTACGGGGCGAGCGGGCTGCAGCCGGGCCAGCAGCGGGCCCTGGGTCAGGGGCGCCCGTGGGAAGGTGGATCCTGCACCCCCTGACGGGTTCCCTTGTCCTGGCAGAGCTCCAGCAGCAGCACTGGGACGCGGCTGACGAGATCCACCGCTCGCTCATGGTGGACCACGTGAACGAGGTGAGCCAGTGGATGGTGGGCGTCAAGCGCCTCATCGCCGAGACACGGAACCTGCCCGACGCAGCGACGGACGGCAGCGCTGAGACCGAGACCGAGCCTAAGACCGAGACCGAGCCGGGCCCGGAGGAGCCCTGACACCGGGGGTGGGGCTGCGGACTGTGAGCGGGGCAGCCCCTGCCCAGGGCCGCCGGCAGGAGCAGGGACCCCGCTGCCAGAGGGAGTCGGGGCACCCCCTCTGCTTCCCAATCCTCATCCAGGAAAAGGGGATTTTAATCATTGCGACATTTTAGTGGCGATTCATTATGTTTAATAAACAACACCAACCTGCCCCCAGCCACAGTCTGCCCAGGGTTCTGGCACTGGTGGGTCCTGGGGCTCCCAGGGGCAGCGGGAGACAGGATTGCTGAGTGAGGCCACGGCTGCTTTGTCAGGCTTGGGGCTCTGGCCTTGGCAGGGTGCTCCCAGCCAGCAGGATGTGAAGGGAAGAAAAACAGCAGCACCTGGCTAGAGCAGGCAGTGCTGTGTGTTCCTGCTGCACTGGCTGGCAAAGCCTGGCCCTTCTGGCCTCACCTTTGGCTGTGGGGTGCCTACAGCAGCCCCAGTCTGCTGCAGGAGGGGTCCAGGCTGGCTGTGGAGGCCAATGTGCCAGCAGTCCCCAGCAGCTCAGTATGGCCAGGGTTTGTGCTGCAGCCACAGCCCCTGCTCCCATCTGGGCTCCTGCCCTCCTGGCACAGTTCAGACTTGAATTTGGGACCCAGGGACAGGGGGGTCCAGGGACAAACATGTGCCCACAGTTAGGTGTTGACTGTGCTGTTTCCACCCCACTGGCACTTACCGGCTGCCCCCCACCACAGCTGGGAACCACCCAGGCCTTCACCACCCCCTGCCTGCAGTGTCACCCCCTGCACCTTGCTGGTGCTGCTCAGCCCCCTCCCCAGGGCTGTGAGGACCCTGCTGAGCCCCAACAGACACACACCAGGTCAGCACAGGGGTTTCACGGTGTTTATTGATCAAGCATGAGCTCCTAGGCAATTGCACCAGCCACTTGTGCTAGAGCCTGAGGTGTCACACGTCCATCCCCAGCATCAGAGAGGGCTGCAGCCAGCTGGTCACGGTGCCAGCACCTCCACGAGGCCCAGGAACAGGCCCAGCCATGGCCTGGAGACGGGGAGCTGGAAACTCAGATGTCCATCTCAAACTGGTCTTGATCTGCAAAGGGATAGGTGAGGGATAGAGGGCCAGGGTTAGGATGGGGCTGCCTTGGGAGACACGGGCAGGCAAAGGGGTCAGGAGCTGGAACTGGGGCTGGGCCGGGCTTTGCCCTTGCCCCTGTTGCCAGGCAGGAGCCCCGTGCCTCAGGCAGGTGGTCCATGGAGGGGGCCACATGCCTGGGCTGCTCACCTGGCATGGCCTCTTAGCTCTCATTCCGCTCCTTGAGCTCCTCCAGCTTGACGAGGCTGGACTGGGCCAGGGATGTGACACCGGGGGTCTGGGGCAGGCAGCAGGGAGGGGTCCTGGCCGCGGGTGAATTCTTGCACTCCAGCAGGAACTTGCGGTCGCAGATGATGCGGGTACCTGCCAAAAGCAGGGGCTGTCAGGCACTGCTGGGCCTGGCCACCCCCAGCCCTGAGCACCACAGCCCAGAGCAGGGGGTGGGACCCAGCACTCGGCCATGGCTTGGGGACACATCTGGCTCTGGAGCCACCACGGTGCTTCCCACAGGGCAGCCAGTGACACCCGTCCTGCCCAGCAGCTCTTCCCCACATTGTTCCTGCCCTTGAGGCTCCTGGAGCTCTGCAGGGCTCAGCACAGGGGGTCCAGCCTCCACAGGTCTGGCCATCCCTGGAGGGCAGGGCCAGCCCAGGGCACACAACTCGGCCCAAGCCTGGCGGCCAGGCAGCTGCAGCTCCCTGCCCAGGGCAGAGCAGCAAAGGCTGGGTGTCCCACAGGGGCACCCTGGGGACCCTCCCATCAGCTCATCCAGCCACCCGCTGCCCCCTGCACAAGGACAGCAGCTGAGTTTGATGGGACATCTCCTCCTGCAGCCTGCCAGGTGTGCAGTCCCCACCTGGGGCACACACTGCCTCCCCCCCATGCCCCAACTGCCTGCCAGCAATGCCCGAGGTCACATCAGCCCATGTGCCCCATCTGCTGCCCTGCCTGGCCATCCCTGCAGCCGAGCACCAGCTCCCTGCCAGGCTCCGGCAGCAGGTGCAGCCCAGGGTGCCAGGGAGCCTGGAGTTGCTGCCTGAGGTGCCAGGGAACCCAGAGCTCCTGCTTGGCACCACAAACACGTTACACAGCCCGTGCCTGCCACAGCCCCACAGCACTGGGCCGGGCTCCTCCCCAGCAGAGCAGCTTAACCGAAGGCACATGATGGAGCCAGGGCCCACAGGATGGGCACCTGTGGCTCAACCCAAACATACCCAGCTCACACACTTCCCTGAGGACATACAGCAAAGAAGAGGACCTGCTCAACAGCTGACCCAGGGGCTTTGCTGGGGCATCAGAAGGGGGCAGGAGGGCAAGGGGGAGTTCTGCCACCCAGGGCTGCTGAACTCAGGTGGGAGCAGGTTCTCATGTTAGCCCCCGTGCCTCCCCCTGAGCCAGCCAGCCCCGAGGGACCAGCGCTGCACCCACCAGCCCAGTGGCACTGCCACCAGCCCACTCCCCAGCCCCTGCCTGTGCCCCCCTGCACCACGGGGCAACGATGTCCTGAACTTCGAGCAGGATCTTCCTACAAAGCTTCGGGGTTCCCTTTTCCACTTCAGCTCTGGGCTGTCACCACCCCATGGGCCTGCCTGGATCTGGTGTCCAGAGCAGGTGCCTGTGTCCCCAAGGACAGAGCTGCACAGGGAGAGCCCAGCAAGGGAAAGAGCTGCCCACATGAGGCAGGGCATTCCAGGGACAGCCCCAGCCCCATGCTGGGTCTTGCCCTGCAGTGCAATGGAGGAGATTGTGTTACCCTGGAGCTGTAGCCCTCTGGGCTGGGGAGACAGGGGCTCCCCAGGATGAGGCAGGAGGGCATGGCAGTGCTTTGCTGCAGCCAGGAAGCCCACAAAAGTCAGCACCCCACCCCTCTCCTGCACCTCACCCTGAGAGCACACACCTACTGCACCACACCACCACTGGTTTTTGATACAACTGCTGTTAAGACACGTGGCAGGGGGTTGGACTGGGTGATCTTAAAGGTCCCTTTGAACCCAAACCCTTCTCTGACTGATTCTATGTGTTTCTCCTTTGGTGTCTGCACTGTCAGTGGGGCAGCAGCAGTTCCAATTTATTTTGCATTCTTCCTCAAATAACAGGAAACATATCTGAATATACCATCCAGTAGTGCTTCCGAGGTTGATCTGCCTGCGGTACTCAGACACTGCTTGTGCACTGTGGTTTTTAAGTACTTCCTCATGCTTTTCCTGGGGAAATTCTGCTGCTGCATGTAAGGATTTGTCTGGATAAGGTGGTGGAAGGTGAAGTCTCCACCTGGTCTGAGACCACTGAGGGTGGACCTTTAGATTGGACACTATGTGCACTGTAGTTCTCTGCTTAAGGAATGGACTCAACATTCCGTGTGGTTACTGCATTGCCTTGGAGCAAAAGCAGAAATAAGCACAGTCTAAGTGCAGAAAGTGGGGAACTGGGTCAGGAATTAATGTTCATCTTAAGCAGAGTGCAAAAATCCTCCTCTTCTTCACAGAAAAGACTCGAGGAGCTCTTACCAGATTTAAAGTGTTACAAGAAGCTTATAATTGAATCTATTAGGTTTTCCTCCAGTGGGAAGCACTTAGTTCCCAAGATCTGCTTCTGGGCAGCTGGTGAAGGAATGCTGCATTTACCTACCACTGCTGTCAGCCCTTGCAGCCCTGAGCAAAACCTCATCTCTCGGGTGACCCACCTGCAAAAGGAGCGCTCGAAGCAACAGAACTAATCCAGAAGGACAAAAAGGTAACACAGAAGCAGGTTCACACCAATAACAGGCTCACAACTGGCAGGGGGAAGGGCTCTGCAGACATCAATCACAGACACCTGCGGCTCCAAACCCTCCCAAATCCTGACTGCAGCCACGTGCTTGGAATGTGGCCCTGGGATGTGTCACCAGGCACGGGAGCAGCTACCGAGGACAGCAACATCGAGCCCTTTCCAAAATTCTCACACACAACCTATGAATGCTGTTTGCCTTTTATTGAGTATTCGGGTAAATATTTCACATTAATACAGGCTACATAAAGTAGAGCCACTATACGACATGAAATTTACTCAGCTTTTCCTTTTAAGTCTGTAAACAATTAGACAGGTATTTACCACCCTAAAAGGTTGAACTCATGTCATCAGCTAGTTCTCTGCTGCGTACAAGGAGCATTCAGTAGTGTTTAGCCAAAAGCACTAGTTTTGTCTGATTTTTTAAGTTTAAAGTGGCTAAACTAATTGGAGAACAGAATCAGTTTATATAGGTAAAGTCAATTTGTTGTTATACAACGGGCAATCAAGTTTCCATTGTTACAGCCCACAGAAAATCACTTAGGCACATGAAAAAAAAACCCAGGGTTCTTCAAGGTCATAAAGATTCCCAAACCAGGCTAAAAAAGGACAGACCCCCTTAAATCAGTTGACGTACTTGAGATGCATGTTTCCAATGTGAGGTGCCCAGGTGCCAGGCCAAATCTACAGTAAGAAATAAAAAGACAAATCTATTATGAAAACAAATAAAAGTTCCTTTAACAGTGTTTAACCACTGAGGGCGAGCGTAAGGCTTCCCCCAAAATACAACCAGACTGTCCAAAGGCGGGAGCTCTCCAGCTCCAGCCAAGGTCTGACTGACAACCTGCAAGGTGCTGAGCACAGATATAAACCCTCTCACGTGTTACAGTCCATTACCTGGCTGAGCAGTCCTGAAATGTTTTACCTGGAAGGTTTGGTACTGACAGCTCCATAGATATTTTATGAACACACACACACACACACAGAGTAGGGAAAAGTCATGCAAACAATCTCGATTCTAGTTTCAAAGAACTGAAAGAAATCAAACATGTCACCAATCCAAAAATGGATATCACACCACCGTACAAAGCCCCGGGTAAGCACAGGTGGGAAAAGGCAGCCACACTACCTGCTGAGCATCAGTACATTCTGTTGAGTTCTGGACAACTTTGATCATGGGATTCCAGGCGGGATCTGGAGTATGGAGCCCGTTAAAGAGGGGCCCTCCTGGGCCATCTGCCAGCTGGGGGTGCGAGGGGATCAGGGTGCCGCCGTACATGGAGATGGGCAGGCCCTGAGGGGACAAGAGAGCACTCGGTGAAGGGTGGCTGTAGGACCACGTCTGCCCAGGTGACAG